CAAAAATTGCGGGAAACTGCAAAAAACGCATCTTCGCACGGGCAAACTGTGCGTTGGCCAGTTATTGAGTTTGCTATATAACTAATTATTTGTCGTGTTCTTGTGCGTGAGGATTTAGCTCCCAGACCAGTTTTGACCACATTTGAATATGGAATATACTTGCGAAGTTTCATCTTCGCAGCTTGTCCGGTAAGCGGAACTCAGCACTTCGCCCCAAGTGCCCTTGACGTTCCCTAGGACACAAGAATTACGCAAGTGCAACTCAAAGCTTTGCTTAGATATACGATTTCCCAGATGGACGGTAAATATTCTGGCAACAGCTGTTGTTTTCCGGCTAGTTCTATAGTTGATACAGTGCCAGCTGTAAACTATGACATGCGCGATAGCTGAATATGGGCAGGAAATACTCCCATAAAATCGAACAAGGGTAAGCACAATTTCGAGATGCGCAAGTGAGGGGAGAGGAAACTCGCATCTGTTTGCAGCCCAGTAACATCACTAAATTCAAACTCTTGCATTGAATGTGCGTAATGTTTTAGTATCCTTTGCTTCTCGCTGCACTTCGTTTAGAACTTTTTCCCTGCTCATTCTGCTGTCTATCATTTACAGAAAGTCCGATCAACTTTTTTGGACGCTTCTATGCCGTATCCTCAACGGTTGTTCCGGCATTTAAGTGAAGAATAAAAGGTACCTCTCTCGAGGAAGCAATTTGTCGCGGTGCATTTTTGGCTCAGCGCCGCGCCTACAATACATTGCACAGCTCTCGCAACTCAACCCACTCTAACACTGTTTTAGTTACATACGCATATCCTTCATTTCAATTACGTTAGGAAACGTACCAATGATGCCGGTGACGACGAGAGTGAAAACAGCAGCAACCGACATCATCATTCGGACGCTACGCCACCACTCATTTCGGCGGACCTGCAGTGCTTTACGCGAGAACTGCTCCGCACGAGCTTGCATCTCGTCTGAAATTAAGTTAATTTTTGTCTTGGTTGCTTGCTTAAAAAGAGTGCGCAAAATGGGTGAGGCTTACAACACCAGCATATTTGGAAGTCATGAACGGACCAAGCGAAAAGCGCAAATTCGAGTCATCCTATGTTTTACACTTCAGGCACAAAAATGTTCCAACTGGCAACATTTTATTTTAAAAACTGCCCGTCGGTGTTGCCTTTTCGGAAAAAGCATAAGAGGCACGGTTAGTGCAGTCATCGTACTCCTCAAGCATTTCACTTTTGATGGAATCATCTTTGGCATTTCAGTATTGACTCCACTGAAACAAATTTCAGGAGTTTTTTAATAAACGGGGCATATACTCCCCGCCAAGCTGATTGCGCGTATCAGTGAGCAGTACCCGCGAGAACGACCACTCAGATGCTTGTTGAAAAGGTGACTACGTTCGTCAGCTAGACGGTTGGCACTAAATGAAGAAACGGGATGGAGCGGAAATATCTTGCACGACGTGGAGAAGCATCTCAACAACAAAGTTAACATCAGCTCTCAAGACCAGTTGTCCGGCATTAAGAGGAAAGTCAATTAAAGTGTAATAAATTAGTCACAAGTAGTAAGTCAGTTTTTCTGTTTCATTTCAGAGGAGGCTATGCACAGCTCCCTGAATTATAAAAACCCCGTCATGGCACAGACTTTTCCACTGTCATTGAGGGAATGACACGCTGAGGACGAGTGGGCACGTCCATTTTTTATTTCTCCAGAATCACCAACTATTAAAAACGCTGCGTGTACGATGTGGTACAGTTTAAATCGTACCGTTGAGGTATTTCTTTGTAGATGAAAAGAATTTAGATTATTGTTTGTTCTGAGGCGCGAAAAAGCTTGCACCTCCGCCGTGCGTTTGATCATGCCATTTTCGAAAAAGATAAAGAGGACGAGAATGTTGTAGTACCGGCGCGTGCGTTAAGATCCTGCAGACGCCCTTCGCGCTCGATGATACGGCCAATATCCGATCGAACAATTTCTATCACTTCCTCAAGTTGCTTCCGCGTACTTTGAATCTTTGCTTGGCTTGACACTCGTACGGCCCTACCAATTTGTGTGACTGGAAGATTGAACTGTTCCATACGGGAGCAACTTACCTTAATTTGATTAGGATAAGGGATACTATGACCATATTTCTAATGTGGCAGATAAAAAGTGAGCATTTCCTGAACAACGCAGCACAACTTACACTCATGGTGCAGAATGAATCGGTGTTTGCGGCAGGTTTACAGTGACTTTGTGCATTCTTGACGACCACTTCTCTTATTAAATGAGAAAAATATTTAGAAATCTATGAGAATGCGCCAAGCATCGACCAAAAGACGGTTGATTTCGTTTTAAACTTTGGGTCTGATACAACCCAAACTCATCTCCGTTCTGCGTCTTTTCGGAGCCACATTTATGAGCGAGGCATCACCTTCACCTGGGCATCGTATCTCTTCACCTCCTTAGTTCTCTTGCTAATATCATAACTGCAGACCTCTCTCTTTGTCCTTCATGCCTCGCCCATTTTGCTCTGAAGCCCTATAACGACTGTTCGTATGAATTTGACAGCTAGTGTGGACTTAAGCTCTGTACGGTATCTTTCAACCTCGTCGGCGATTCTGAGGATATAAACTTAATTAATCTTAGGGGTTTTACTGGAGCATAGTTGTATGGCTTCAGTGCACTATCACTCGTTGGAGAGATGACAACGGCCCGTTGCTCCTAGGCTTAAGCAGACGAAGTGCTATCCAACATGTTTTTGGCTGACTTATGCCCAGGCGGCACTTAATCGCCCGCTGCCACTGGAACAGCGATGACTGGAGTCAAAAATTTTTGTGAAAAATGCCTTTAGGAAATCCAGAAACAGTGGAGCATGTGAATTTTAAACATCATCAACTTTTCAGAAAAAAGACAATTTTCTCCGGTAAAAACGAGACCGAATTTCTGCATACCGCTTACCCGTGGGGCTTTCATCTCATGAGACTAAAATTCCGACCGTTCAGGAAGCCAACTGAAACAAACAAACAGCATGAGCTTACCGTGCTCCGCCCAGTCACTCAGCTTACAATGATATAAAACGAAAAGGACTCCGTTTCTTTAATAAATCGGTCGTAATATTCAGATTTTTCTTGGATATTGACTGGTATGTACTGAGAGCTTACATCGGATCATTGAGCATGTTTATGCAGGCCGCAGCAGACCGCGCATCAACGCCGCTTCGAAGCACAACAGCTAAACAATAACAAAATGTTCTTCGCTTTACACTTATGGCGAATCACTGAGCATGACGAAAATGTACCCAAAAAGGTGAAAACGGCAGCTACCTCATACTTACCCTGGCGTGTCGTTGGCACTGATTTCGCTGTCAAAATGAATATAAAAATAAAATCCAGGTAGAAATGCACCAAGCTTGTCGGTGCGATCATGCGTTTTTGCACCAGACTTGAGGTGCTCAGGCATTAACTGCATAAGTGGTTGTTGCTTTACACCTACCTTTTGCGTTCACTAACATAAATCACCAGAAATTTTACATAAAATAAACAATTTCCATTTAACAGTCGTTTTTTGAAAGTAACTTGGCTGTTCAGTGAGCAATTTTCCCGCCCAAACTTTTAAGTGACTTCACGTGAGAACCTGAAGGCTGAATGTCGAATATTTAAATTGTACTTAGACAAAGATCACCCTCTAAAATTTCAGCTTTGTAGCTTTTCTGGTTCCCAAGTTAGTAATTTTCTCGCCAAAACCTTTACGTGCCCGGATGTGGGTACTCCTAACACCTAGGAAACTGAGTTTGAAAACTTTAAATTGCAGGGCAGGGTGCATCCCCTTGAAATTTCAGCCTTCCAACTTTTCTGGTTACCGAGTTAGCAATTTTCTCGTCAAGTCTTTAACGTGCTCGTGTGTGAGAACCACGCATATCTGAAGGCTGAATTTGAAATATTTAAATTTTACTTGGACAGTAAACATTCCCTCAGAATTTCAGCTTTCTAGCTGTTCTAGTTCCGAAGTTAGTAATTTTCTCGCCAAAACTTTCGTACTGCTTATGCGAGTGTCACGCATACGTAGAGGCTGAATTTAAAATCTTTAGGTCACATACGCACAGGGAATATCCGTGCATGGTTTCAACCCCTTCTCCGGTTCCCGAGATCGCCTTCCCGCCAAAAATTCGCATGTTTTTTTTTAAGACGTTCGTAAGCCTCACCCAGGCGTAGGTGGGCGATGATATTAAAGTGGGAGGGTCACGCATCGTGTGAGCACACACAACCAGATTTTCAGCCTTCTAGCTTTTCTGGTTCTCGAGTTGAAAGTGGGTGACAAGAAATGCGAACACATTGACACAGACACACACACACAAACACAAACGACCTATCCCCAATATGCGTTTTTGCAATTTGCATATATGCAAAAACGCGTAAAAAGCAAAGAGAAAATACATAAAAATTCCTTTAAAAAAGCAAAGAGAAAATACACAAAATTTAGTACAAAGGAGAGAAGATTCTGCAAGAGAAATGCCACAGTCGTTTTTGTTAATAAAAAGTGATTAATTTGTTTTTATTAGTTAAACCGGCTAATTTTCACTCCGGCATTCACTTTCTCCACTGGTGCAGCTGACAGATTCATCATTCCTCTAGATTTTGAAACTACCTCATCTTCATTATAGCAAAAAGACATTCAGTGGATCTCTCTCCTCCACTGCGTTGGTCACCTTCCCTCTAATCTTTTTAACTACTCACGCACCCCCATCATATGTTTTTACCTCTTGTTAAGTGTTCAGATGAATTTTTCTTCCTGGCTTTTATATTACCCAAAATAGCATCATTCGTGCCAGCGGTTCTTGACACTGCGTTGAAGATATGGCGCGGCTTGCAAATAGAATGCCTTTATAGCAAGGATGGTGTTTTGTAGGCAGAATTTAGGGAGAGGATAGAGAAGGGAAACGACAGCACAGGTCAGGAGCTCGAGCAGTCAGCTGGAGACAGCAGTAAAGAGAAAGAGACAGCATAGCGTTACAATGAAAAGTAAATTAAAGCAAACCTGAGCCTGTGAATAAAAGCAAAATCGGAAAAATTTGAACCTGCGAATAAAAGCAAAATAAATAGCAACGCGCACCAGATTAACCAGTGCGATCATGCGTTTTGTGCAATTTAGCCCATCGAATGATTGCCTATTAATGATTTTCATCACTTTGTACTTTAGTCTATGCAAAAGTAGTTGAAACGATGAAAAATAGTTAAAAATTTCATGCACCTGCGCATGAAAGCTGAATTTGAAACCTTGAAAGGTGAATATTTTTCCGTGATTCCCGAGTTACTAGTTCATCCGCCAAAATTTTCGCGAGGCCGTAGGTGGTGCCCGAAGGCGCGGGATCGCTGGATTTGAATAGGCAAAGTTGAGCGTGAGCAGGTAGGCACAACCCTAAAGTTTCAGCTCCGTAGACTTTGTGGTTCCCGAGATAATACTCTACCTGCAAAAACTTTCTCTAGCCCATAAGTGATACCCGAGAGCGCGGAAATGCTGAATTTGAAAATGCAAGGTTGACCGTGGGCAGGGAGTCATTACCGTAAAATTTCAACTTCCTAGACTTCGTGGTTCCCGAGATAATGATTTACCCGTGAAAACTTTCGCGGGGCCGTACATGTTACCCGTGGGCAGAGGGAAGCTGAATTTAAATCTTTCGGGTAGCACATAGGCAAAGAACACGCCTACAGAATTTCAGCCTTCTAGCTTACGCAGTTCCCGTGATAATAACTTTACCCGAAAGAACTTTTACAGAGCCGTACGTGTTACCCGCGGGTACGGGCTGAATTTAAATTTGCCGCATCACCCGTTGGCGGGAACACTGTGCTCAAATTTCAGCCGTCTAGCTTTCGTGGTTCCCGAGTTAAAAGTGGAGGACAAAACACACACACACACACACA